TATATATATATATATAATAGAACGTTCAAAAATTACAAACAGACACATAGTGAGGTTTCTAAAGAAATAGGCTGTGTTTGAAGTACTACCATACTAATAGTTTTTTAATGGTACATAGTTTCAACAGCAGAATGACCATATATGGCAAAATAAGCAGTATACAATGGAGTACACTACAATAAATTCCAAATCTCAAGTACTATCAGCAGCCTTTTAACATTTTTCTTGACTTATAAATTATTGCCCAGCTAATTGTTAAGGCATTTTTACACAAATAATAACAGATAATAAGTAAATAAATTATAAAAAGTAAACTAATAAATCAATAAATTGAAAAATAAATTAATTAACAAATAATAATACATTTCCTGGACATCACTTGCTGAATTAAACAAGAAATGTTTTATAACACCACGTCACACTATTTTATTTTTTTTTAATGTTCATTATTCCATAAGGCATCTTTCCATTATGTCATCACTTTTTGGATAATGTACTGGCTGACTCTATGGACAGGATATCTGGGCACCCCCTCCCCTCCTTTATTTTTTACATTTGTATTTGTGTTATTATGAATTATTTTTATTGTTTTATTGAATGTAATTAGTTGGGGTTTGGTAATTACGGTTATGATATGATATTGCAGATTTTTTTCTTGTGGCAAGTTTGTCATTTGTGCACTTGTTATTCCATGTAAACAATAAATAATAAAATACATTTTAAAAATATAAATACATAATATAAACAAAAGACAACATTTCTTTTTAAAAATAAAGTAAAAGAAAGTTAACTAGTTTCCTGGTGTGAACAGTGTCTTTACACACTATATTTAAAAACATTTCTTGAGACTATGAATTTTTAAAAAGAGTAAAATTTTCAAGTAAAGAATGGTTCTGATATTTGAGAATGCGTAATTTAATGTAGCTATGTGTACTTACGTATAGAGAGGCTGCAGCTGTAAGTGAGAACTCTTTTGTGGAGGCTGGTAACTATACGAGTCCAATCCACCAATGAAATCAACTGCAACAGAGTGAGAGGACTCAAAACTCAAGCACTTTAATGGCACTGTAATTCACTTTCAGGTTCTAACAAAAGCCAAGAATACTTACAGCTGTCCTCATCATCCAGGAAGACTTTACTAACATAGCAGGCATAAACAAATCCAAAGAGCTGAAACACAGAACAAAATATGTTAACAGCCAATCAGTCATCCTACTTCTCTGCCAAACATTCATGTGCACATACTTTTGTAAATGAAAAGAAAAGAGATCAAACGTAAGTACTCACTGCAAGAAACACTTGCAAGGCTGAGCTGACCACCTCTATGTATTGGTAGTCCAGTAGGCAGCCACTGACAGTGATCACATGATGATCCTGAGGAGCCAATGGTGAGTCAGGCACTGGAGTAACTAAGCAACCAGGCCCATTCTCCATCCACCAGGAACGATGAAGCGATGTGTTAAATGTCATTAGGAAATCCCTGTCCTACAGCAGAACACAAACAGGATTTAAAAGGCAAAAATACCCTAATCATGAACTCAACATTGACGCTGTGTACTTTCTTAATCCAAATTCTTAGTTTTTCCAAAAAAAACATTTTTTTGTTCCTTGTAATCTTTAAATATTTTAATTTAAAGATTACAAAGAAGCCCTATTATCATTATGGATAATGCTAACTGATAAACTCCACTATTTTGCGAGATGCCTGCTTTTCAGGATCAATACAATTCCCAATTAACAAAATCAAATAAAATGCCCTTTCTTTCATTAATACAGTAATAAAATGGTTTATGAATGCCGTTTCATGTTGACTCTTAAGATTAAAGCATAACAAGGCATAAAATCAAACATTTAATCAGACTCTTTGGTGTATTTACACAATGACTTATCATAGACTGGAGTCTGGACCAATGCAGTAAATCACCTACCTGTGACAGGTGACCAACTTCCAGGTAAAAGCAGATGATAAAAGCGTTCCAGCCAACCCAGACCACAAGCCACACAGCATACTGAAAGTGACAGACATGCATACTGTATATGTGCACATATAAAAAATATATTAACGAATGCATATGAGACATGTAAAGACCATGCAAATAGCAAACCATTTTCAGCTGTAGATGCAAAATGTGGGCAAAAACAAATGTGTTCTTTTTTTCCTACCAGTATAAGATATCTGGAGCGGATTTGCACAGTTCCAAACACTCCCAAAATGACGGCCATGATATGGAGGAAATTGGCAAGGATGGGAGCCCACTGAAATCCCAAAAAGTCAAACACCTGCCTCTGTAATGCAGCGACCTGTGAATAAACCAAGAACACTTTACATACACAACCATCCAACATTACAAAAATTTACGCATGCATAAGTGTGCACAAAAAGCTTGTGCCAATACAAATAACATCACATATAGTCGTCGAACCTTGTCCCATGTCTTTGCAGACTTCAAAATGAGCTATACTGGGTTTATTTAGGCAAACATCAGACAGGCAAAACAAGCTTGTGCAGCAGACTCCCAAGTTATATTGGCAGGAAAATGGTACACAAAGTCTGGTATTGCTGGCTACTATTCCTGGCAGGAATTAACACGTGCAGCATCCATCCAAACAGCCCAGTAAGCGACTGCACATTAACCACATGCAGGAGAGATGGAAAATTCTTCAGAGAAGGATCATCAGCCACAAGGACTCTGTGCCAGAAAGCTCAGATGCTTTCCGGACACTCGAACGTCCGTCAAAGTACTGCACATCCTCTGCCGCTCTCGCATGTGGGTTTATTAAATATTTTGGCTAATTTGATGATGGAGTCCACAGACTCTGCTTGGCCGTTGTGGTGGGTTAGTTTAGCCAAACCTCCAAGCCTCTTATGCTCGCCAAAGTTGCATTTATTTGATAAAAAAAAACAGTAAAAAAACAGTAATATTGTAAAATATTATTACAATTTAAAATATCATTTGAATATTCATTTTAAAATATAATTTATTCCTGTGATGGCGAAGCTGAATATTTCCACAAAAATAGTAAGCAGAATATTATTATATGCACAATATTAATATCTTTCAAAAACAGTAAAAAAAAAAAAGAAGTAATATTTCAAACTTTTGACTAGAAGTGCACTTTAATTAGTTAAGTTCTAACTTGTTTTGACTAATTCTGTATGGAAATCAGGTTTTCATGAAGATCATTGGGTGTGAAAAGCCTAAAAACAATAAAAATAAAAAAAAGATTTAAACTGTGAGGCCCTACCTGTTATCACTGAATCAGCAGTACGGGCTGCAGTGGACCATTAAACTCACTTAAGCCAATGGCAAATAAATAAAAAATATTGTCTCCACACACATAGGAGCAATCCCAAAGCTGGGGTGCCGCAGCTGTTTCCATGGAAACTGCCTGGAGCCCCAGCCCACAGCCCTATGAGAAAAGACCCCCTTCATCAGGAGGCCCCTCATCCTCACATGTCTCTCGTCTGTGTGTTACACAAATCATGCATATGCATACATATCTGGGGCATGAAGTTTCTCCAAGAAAAGTTTTGACAGGCTTCTCAATTGGCCCCCTAAGAAAGGAACCAGGACACATTCTCCCTTGGCTTCACCCCTCCCAAATCAGAACCCCTGCGTCCT